CAGTGATGTCACATCATAATCCGGTCTTCTATTTTCAGGTAACTTCATTATTTGTATAAGGAAATATTTTCTACCACACTTATGAGCAGTTGGATAATTCCTGCTAAAAACCTGTTTGAGTTAAGAGCAGGTGCTTGTGACTCTTTCACTGGGATTGCCAGGTATTTCCTCTTTGGATCAATAGGTTGCCTTCATAAGTGAAATATTAATATCAAAACCCGCTCCATCTTAAGTGTCCTGTTAAGAAACAAGTTTTTATGCCTAAACCAAATTTACTCTGCTCTTCTAAAATGCTGCATTCACTACAAATACGCAAAGCTGCTTATTAGAATCCAGAAGGCTAAAAAAAATCATTCATTAAAAATAAATACCTAAATCATAACAGCTGCATAATCTCAGCAGAACCTAATCTATTCCAGTACATTTTGGTTCTCTTTAAAATTGCAAAGTTGCATATAGAAAAATATTTTTATTTGTCTACACCAGAAGTTAGTAAGGGTACCTAGTTTGTAACAGCACTTGTGAAAACCAGCTAGAGGCATTTCCTTCTACCTTTGTATGCGGCGTGTTTCTTTGTGCCTTTTTATTCCTAATTCCTCAGTTGTGGTAAAACACGTGCAGATTTGAGAATTCGCCCTGCCAATACAACCAGACCCCAAGCAGTGCCAGTGTTCACAATGAGGCACTTGCACAACTGAGACTTTTTTTTTAACAAGGTCACACTTCACTGATTTAATATTACAAAACCACATAATTACACCACGCTCCACCTAGAAAGCTGAATGAAAGCTTTGCACGAGTAATACAAGGTTAAATCTGTAGTCTTCAGCTCTGACAAATGTTCAGCATGCAAAATGGGGATTGCATTTATGCCCATGGGGAAACATGGGTTAAAAGCACCATCCTCCCTGCTTTTGCTGTCTCTGGTGATGTATTACTAGGCAACACTACATTGCTCTCACAAGTGCTTTATAAAATCCCCTGCCTTCTCCCCTCTGTCCATTAACACATTTTGCCTTGCCCGTGCTTTATCTGTGCGCACATGCAATTGCAATCAGCACAGGGCCAAGCACTGACTGCTGAAAATGCTCAGAAACTACCGAAGTACTTTATTTTTCTCCATCTCTGTCTGCAGTTTGTGCATTATGACAAAAGTTACAACAGTTAAAAATACATGTTTAACCTTTTAAAGAAACCCTCTAGAATATGGCATAGCAGAATATACAGAAACGAGAGCAATAAAGGAACTTGCATTCAGCTTCTCAATTTAAATCATGGCTGTGCTACATCAAGTTACTTTGGAAAACACTTTAACTCAGGTTGGTACAAAAGTCCAGTTATTAAAATTAAAATTGATTTATTATTGTATAGAAGTCAATATATAGCAGACTTCTTGGACCTAATCTCCTGTTTCCCAAAAATGTGAAGAGGAAAAATCCAAGAAGTACACAATCAGCAATGTTTTTATTCAAAGTGAGCATTAATAGTACTTAACCAAGCATTCATTAAAAATTAAACTGGAAGATGCTACTGAGAGAAATCTGCTGTTAAAAATTAGCATGTCTCTGTCATAAGCAGCAACTTATGTGTGCATTAAAAAAGTTTATCTTAGTCCTGTTGTGATGAGATTTCATTGTACCCTTAAAATATTACCACTAGAATATATATGCCTTTAATATTGATAACAGTTACCCTATTGAAGAGGCTCACGGAACCAGGGGCCAGTAGCACGGTGGTGGGGACAAGCCATAGGTTTTGCCAGGGAAAGGAAAAAGACTCAGTGGCAATGAGAGGTCATCAGCATTTCCCATTATTGTGCTTTAAATATGCTCAGCGTTCGCTCCCCTCCTATTGTTTTTCACATTCACCTTTGGAAGCAAGGTCAGCCAGGACTATTTAAAAAAAGTCAAAATGAAATGTCAATATAGGTTTGAGCTGTCTGCGTGGAAAACTGCAATAATCGTCATGTCTTACACAGAAAAAAAGTTAAAGTTCTCCCCCTTTTTCTTTTATACAATAATTTCCCTTGAATCTTCTAGATTTGTTTGGACAAGACCAAGAATGGAACACTACCCTCAATTAAAAATTCTTTCAAAAGGAAAGGGTGGATGCGATCAGGGATTCAGGAAGGAAATCTTAAACACAATATTCACAGCAATACTTCAATGATGTGTGTTACACCTCTGTCAATATATATGTATTTTTTCTTCATATACATGTGGCAATATGTTTTGTTCGTGAACATATTACAGATCTGAAGCCCAGTGCTACCTAATAGAAGTTTATAGCATCAGGCTCTTAAACGGGCAGCAAATCATTTCATCTGAGATGTCGATACAAATACTTCAGCACATTATAATAACACCTAATAATGATATTGGGAAGAATAAAATTCCACAATTGTGAATGCATTTTTTCTTTAAGAAAAAATTAGCAAAATCATCCTGCACATAGTTTTACATTGTAACCCAAACCCCACATCTCATGCTAACATCAATTCAGTACAGACACTCTGACATTAAAAAGCAACTCCCCCATAAGAGGAAAATGGCATAGAGTTTTGTTTGATGCATTGCTTACAACTTCTGATCAGAACTTGCTCTGTCCCAGGCTTTCATTGCGAATGTATTAGTGTCAGCAGGAGAACCCGAGATCTTCCAACAGGAAATGTCAAATTTGCATCTGTAAAATATAAAATATTAATCTGGTTTCTGCCATAAATTGCATTTTCTTGAAGACTTTGGAGGATATCAAACCCAAATCCCTGACATTTCAGTTTGATTTAGTGAAACAGCAGAATAATTTCCCAGATCACATTGTACTCCTTGTCAGAAGAAGCTCAGCTAATGAGTTAGATGTATTTTGCTGGTGATAACAAACACAGTATTAGAAAGTCTGGTCACCAGGTGAAAAATAATGTGTTCTAGAAATTGCAGGAGAAACACGATGACTGCTTAATGCCATTTTGTCTACATCTAGATATGCAAAAAAAAAAAAAAATCCCCAAAAACCAGGTCTGTGGTTTGTGCTGAAGCTGGGCATAAACATCTCCTGATCTATACTAATATGCCAATCATTTCCAGGGAAACTGATTTAATATCACGTTCTCCATCAGTAAAATATGAGTAAAAATCCATAAAATCCTTAGGTCTTGACCTACCAATCTGCTGATGTGTAAAATTAGAGACCGGGGTGTAGATTTTTTAAAAAAATCTGATAAAATATATCGAACATTTGAATATACCAAAGGCTTATTTTCCCAGACCAGAACTACTGCTCAGACTATACATGACATTAAACATTTCCCATTTGCATTTGCTCTATTTCTCATAGAAACTCTTAATATAAAGGAAAAATGCTAAACATCAATGCCTATTTCAGCATTTTTGACCAAACGCATAAAACCCTTTTTTACAATGGCACGTAGTGAGAGGTGACCATACAAGTGGTCAGCTCACTCTCTGTTGTAGCATGATGCAGCTGTGCAGCATTCAGCTTATGGCAGTGGAGGTTTGCCAGATTACACAAGCTCACTTAAATTTAACGGCAATGAAAGTTGAAGAACTTTCTCCTTGTAGTCTCTCCAACTGGAATTAATGTCGCTGAAAATTACTGTTTAGTGCTCCTCTACTGTTCTCCACAAACTGTTTTTTCCTTGAGCTTTAAACGGATAAAAGTCTTTTAGTTGGTCTTACTATGGGATCAAAGCCACCGTTGAGAGCATAGCTTTTGGTTGTCACTTGGATTTTTTTCAGTATAAACAGTGTTTCAGTGACTATAATGCTCATGAAAAGTACCACATTGGCCACACTGAAGTCTGCGCTTTGTAAGCGATGTTATTTCTCCATATTTTCTTTAATCCTTAAATCTAACAGACTCATTTTGACTCCACCATCATCCTGCTGATTAAGCCCAACTATGCAACGTGGAGAAATAAACACAACAGTCCTTATACGTATATGTGAGGCAACAAGTACGTATTTGTCAAAATAGTATGACTAATCAAGAAAAAAGATCATTTTCTGAGAAGTTCTGGGAACATACGGTCATGCAGAAAAGAACAAAGAAGGAATTATTCCTAATCAGAACTGAGAAAATGAGATTATCATGAGATGGAGCAATGATAAGAAAACTGTCATTGACCAATGAGAGACATGCTGAGAAAACAAACCATTCATTAGTACATAAAGGAGATAATATATATATGAATTACTTAAAGAACTGGAGACAATTGCTGTAATGATTTTATTCCATATTCATCTAATGCTCAGAGTAAAAATATAGTTCCAGTTTATTTTTTAATTCTCGTAAGTAGTATCTACAATAACCAAATATGACCCTTGCAATGAAAAAAAAATCATAACATGGATTTTTATTTGTTCTGTGAGATGGTTTTAGAACGTCCTGAAGAGTAATCTGCCTTTATTGCTATCAAGGTGGTCAACCTGCTTCAGGACTGTATCATCTGGTGGTGTTACTGGAAACCCTACAGAAGAGTAAAATTAGCGACCTGGAAATTGTCATAACACCACTGTATAGGTGTGAGCTGAAAATTGAGTAATGTATCTACTAACATAAATACAGATTACAGTATTTAACTTCGAGCAAATCTTAGAAAAAAGTAAGTACAAAATTCAGTATGTGAAGATAAAATGCCACACATAATTAATCTCTGAAATGTCTCCCTGCAACAAAACTACTTCTTACCAGAGAATTAACAATAAATTCTACCAATTTTCCAGCCTAAATAACATCCCTAGCTAATCAAAGGAACCCTTCAGTGAGGAATGTTTTTTTGTATGTGTTTCATCTTTTGTCTGAGAGATGTCAGAAATTGTGAAGAAAAAAAAAAAAAATTAGGATCACCTTTTAGGTCTGTCTGCCCAGAACGGTCTGTTCAGGAGTGACAGCGTAGGACTGTCCCTGGCTGTGCTTCTGCCAGCGTTTTGCCTGCTTTGGCTTTTGACTATACGAGCCAGGGACCTTAAACCTCAGCATCCATGGCGCCTGGGGAGAGCAGACACCTGGAAATGGTCGCTGCAAAGGGCAGAGAGAACAGCGGTCACAGAGGAGAGGACAAATGGGAGGATATAGTGAGCAAGAAATGCAAAATGTGTTTCCTCTCAATTGTTACTTCTGCCAGATCTTTTCAAACACGTCACCTTGCAAGAAAGTTGGTTTGTGATACAATGTTGTGGAATTTAGCACAAAAATTCACTCATTTGTCCCCACCGTATTTAAAACACTAACTGAGCCGTCATTCCCTTATTGTGCAAATATTTAATGCCTTGTTTAAACATTGTGTAACTAAACACTTCAAAAATTATTGTTCTGTTGCAATAGTTATTTAACAGTGACATACATTGAATCTTTATAAAACCAGTGTCAAAAAAAGCCAGGATTTCAAGGGGATTTTTATTGCTATCAGCTATGAGTAAATGTTAGCCTCAAACAAATTAAAATAGTTTGTGTGTGGGGTGAGGGGTCGTGACTTAGCATCCATCTGGATCTGCTGGGAGGAATTTAGTATAAACAGCGCTTTAGAGGCTTCATTTTAGACCCCATCTTTTGGAGATCTGGAGCGCTGTCCAAACATTTCTGGAGAGGCAGTAAGGTTGTAAGAGCTATACAAAGGAAGGAAAGACTCTAACCAAACATCACAGCTCTGCCCAACCTTTCAGCCGAGTTCCTCTGTGACAGCCATCAGTGGTACAAAATGCTCAAATAGGTGTGTATACCTATCAGCATTTCATCTTTAAATGGCTGCTTTAATTTCTATTTATTTTTAAACAGGCCTGAACATGTGTCCAAGATCCATTCGTTACAGTTTTACAAGGCAGAATTGTGATTTCAGTTAATTCATAGGTATTATTTATTGCTTGTGTTTATTCTTGGCTCTGTATGATTATATCTCACTGGGCATGTAAGGGATTTGTTTGCTGGGGCCAGTCTATAAACTAAGATTTCTCTGTTCCATACCTGTTCCATAATCAAAAGAAAATTATCCAAATAGCTTAGCAAAATGTTCTGCATCTCCTTTTAATGTTAGAATAACAGTGATAATAATCTGCAATGATTTACTCCCCCTGGTTATAATATATGGCCTTTAATTTTTCTTGGGTTTAGGTCATTTCATATATATTCCAATATTCTAGCAAACTATCATTTCTGATTCCATTACTTATTTCTTAAATTTAGCCATCTGCTATAAGCCCCTCTCATTTCTCAAGCCCCGCAACCCCCAAGCAAAGCCCATCCCAAGAAATACCCTCCAAACCTTTCATACTGCCACATGGAGTGGCTTACTTTTCTGCCAGGCAGACTCTAGAGATGCTGGCACTGCAACAAGTGTGGCATCAGTCTTGTACACTTGATAAAGGTTAAGAAACTAAAAAGAGCTGTAAATGCAGTAAATCCTAGCTTTGTGACTATTCCCCAAGGCAGATGGCTTTAAATGTGGTCCTATTATGAAATACACCCTGAAGAAAACCCAGAAGAATCAGTGTAGTGTATTGCATTAGTCGCTTGAAACAGCTGAAGATGCACACCAGTGACACACAGTTTCATGCTGAATTCCCCAGGTACATACGATACCACCATTAAAGAGAGGATCCAAACTTGTTGTGGTTTAACCCCAGTTGGCAACTGAGCACCACGCAGCCGCTCGCCCACTCCCCCCCAGTGGGACGGGGGAGAGAATCGGAAGGGCAAAAGCGAGAAAACCCGTGGGTTGAGATAAAGACAGTTTAACAGGGAAAGCAAAAGCTGCGCACGCAAGCAAAGCAAAACAAGGAATTCATTCACTACTTCCCATCGGCAGGCAGGTGTTCAGCCATCTCCAGGAACACGTGTAACAGTTACTTGGGAAGACAAACGCCATCACTCCAAACGTCCCCCCCTTCCTTCTTCTTCCCCCAGCTTTATATACTGAGCATGACGTCACATGGTATGGAATATCCCTGTGGCCAGTTGGGGTCAGTTGTCCTGGCTGTGCCCCCTCCCAGCTTCTTGTGCCCCTCCAGCCTTCTCAGTCGGTAGAGCGTGGGAAGCTGGAAAGTCCTTGACTAGTGTAAACACTACCCAGCAACAAGCAAAACATCGGTGTGCTATCAACACCGTTCTCACCCCAAATCCAAAACACAGCACTGCACCAGCTACCAGGAAGGAAACCAACTCTATCCCTGCCAAAACCAGGACAAAACTGCACGTGCTTTGTGTTACTAGAATTGATGCTAGCACATTTATACTGTGACCACTGTTAATATTTGGAGAAGTACAATAAAAGAGGATCCTGTAAATGCTCATGTGCGTGAGAATTTTTGTGCGTCTCTGTTTCACTGGGTTCACAAAGTTTTTTTCTGCACTTAAATGTTTGACACTGTAAAAGGTACGGTTTGATACACTGAAGTTACAGTAGATTGCATGAAATGCCATGTGGCTTCAAACACCTTAAGGAAAGAGAGTACAATGGGAGATTAAGGGTGATGTACACCATCAAACATCGCTTCTGAACTGGAAAAGCCTCCAAGCAACAAGACCAGAAGTCCTGATGGATAGTTCACTGGAACAGTTTGCCAACAGCACAGGAGTGGTTAAAAGAGTACTCCAAAGCGTACTCGTGATGGCTTGACTTTATAGGATGTTGCCATGCATTTTAAAAGCAATATAAAAATATACAAAATAATGGAAACAGATAGCATCAATCAGTTTGCAGGTTTTTGGCCAGAAGGGCTTACTAGACCTTCTTGACTGACATAGATATCGCAGTCAAGTGATATGTGATATGCGATATGCATGATCACATGTCAAGTGTTATCCCTGTAGTGACCCAAATAACTTGCATTTAAGCGATGGCTTTAAAGTCCTTCCACTTTTCTTCATTTCCTGGCTCTAACAATTCTGGTTAAAAACCACCCCATAGGTTTAACAGGAGACCAAGTCAAAGTCCTTGACGGCAATTCATGTCACAGTGAGTATTTATTGGCTTCAACTCTTTTCTCTCCTCTTGTTTATCTTTCTGTTAGTTCCCTATGGAACTATTACAGCTACACAGCAAACTTCCTCATAGGCCAATCGACATGTATTACCCTCAGGTTTTTAGAAAACTTGTCTATTGTACACGCACTCAAAATATAGGCGAATTCATTTGGGCTTTAAAGTAGCCTGTCCTTTTGTAAAAATGCAATGTATCATAGATTTTGAGCACTAACACCTGCAGGAAACACAGTCTATGTTGAGTCACATACATAAAATCCGTTGGGAGAATTCTGTTACCTGGGTGTGCAAGAACGGCATCTGTCGCTGCTGACACTGAACACATATGTTTGTCTTTTAAAAAAAAAAATCTTATCCATAACCAGAAAGATTTAAAAATAGTCAGAAGCCTTCAAAAGCAAATTTCCTGGAAAAAATGAGCCACACTAAAAACAACATACATACTTCTATGCCTATGCTTGACCATAGGCAAGGTCGGCCCAGCAAAGCACTAGAAGATCACCTATTCAAAGCTTGATTTATCCTGCAAAAGTTTGGAGACTAATTTCACAGAAAATAAGCTCTTGTGATTAATTATTGGGAATAAAATCAAGCCATAATTATTGATGAGGGGAAAAAAAAGCCATAAACAATTCATTTAAAATCAAGTAACAGAGCTTGTTTTTAACTACAGAAAGATGCTGAAGTTGGAACTGGAAAAGTTGCAAAACAAAATAAACGGAAGTTTTTCCAAATTCGTTGTATTATATTACAGTTATCTGTTAGTGATAGATAACAGACCAGTGAGGTCTGTTGTAAAATGCTTACAAAGGATATAGAAATAGTCTTCAAATATGAAACAAATTAGGAATAACTGGCCTCTAAACAAGCATTTGATGTATGAAAAAAGATGGTAAGAAAATGAAAACCCCAGAACGCTTTTTAGACCAGCTGCCTGAAACAACCCTCATTTCCATTTCTAAAGGGTCCAAGTCAGATGTGACATAAGCGTGATGCAAACCACCGCACAATGTTAACGTTGGGAAATTTGCCATAACGTACAGTTTGTTAAAGAAGAACAGAGAAGGGAAGAGTGAGAGAGGCTTATTAACATGTAACTTACACCGCGGCCGTCCTCTTTGAATCTGGACCAAGTTAACTGCGATGAGAGGTAAAAGATATTATAGAAGTACAAAACCTACATGGACTGCATTCTAGCTAACTAGAATATATATGTCACTTGAAGTTAGATCACTCACTTTGGTTCCTTTTGTTTGGATGTTACATACTGTAGAGCTTCACTTTTACTCTCACTAAAAAGTCTGAAGCAAATGAGCAGAGCCTAGCTTGGGGCCTGGCTGTTAGAGGATGCACTTTCAGCTTTTAAGGGCCACATAAAATCAGGGCTTAAAATAAATACATTCTCTAAATGTTGTGGAAGCAGCAAATGGCTGTGTTTGTACATATTTAGGAACATCCCCCCAGCCCTGACCTGGACCTATTCAGCATTTAAGCTTTTGTTTTCGCAAGTCAAAATGCTTTGTAAATTCAGAGTCACATTTGATCAGCAGCAAATTGTAGCAACATAATCTCTACAGCAATTTAGGAAATTGCCATGGAAATTCCTTCTTGTCCTTGCTTTGTGATACAGGTTCTCTGTCCTTGTCATACTGACCCGTGGGTCTCAGCTACTCACAACCTCTTTGTTGCACTTGGGAGGAAGGAAACAACCCTATCACTGACAGTGATGCTGACGGAGAAAGCAGGAAAAGGAGGAGAACATAAGAGGGAAAAGGAAGTACATAGAAAGTTACGGATGGGGTCAAAGCCTCACAGCTCAGTCATCAGGGGTTTGCAGGCTTTTCCAGCACGAGTGACAAAGAGCCAGATCTACAAGCTCTTACCTCTTTTTAAGCTCTGACCTCTCCATTAAGCCTCTGAACTCCCACAAAACCTAAGGCATCAAAACCTTGAGTGTGAAACTTCTGTGCAGGGTGGTTTTAACTTCTTTCCTTGAACAGGGACAGCTACAGCCCATGAGCACCCTGATGTCCTGAGTTGGACAAGCTGGCCCCTCGCAGTCCTCGCCTCCTCCCTCCCCACCCCCTGTTACTCATCC